CTGCTGATTGGATAACAGGATGTCGAACAACCGCAAGACGTATCCAATGTCGGAAGATGATCGGATTCTGGACACGCGTAGTCCAGCTTCGACCCGCTGAACACGTGTAATGCTTCGTCTTCCTGGCCTCTGACGGAATCAATTCGCGATTCGGTAATCCCCGTTGTCGCCACTGGCATCGCAGATCGTGTCCCCGGCCGTCGACCAATCAAAGTCCGCGATCGATCAGACTCTTGGGTCTCGTAGATAAGTTTCCATCGAGAAACGAAGCTTGCATGGGGAGGGAAAACGGGTAGAAAGCGGGTAGGGAGAGAGAGAAAGAGAGAGAGAGAGGAAGCGAATGGTGTACGCGTAAAGTATAGAATTTCATGAGCAACGATAGCGATAAAATTAACCTTCTGTTTGCTAGCTACTGAATCCAGCGGCTATTCAGGATGCATCTTTTATATGGATTGCGGCGCGCGGCGCAACCAGAGCGGAATGTTAAAAGCTTACACCGACGGCTCTTTCGCTGTCACTAAATTTCCCAGCGATCTGTATGCACGGCCCTGTTTGTAAACAGCTCGTGCATCGCTGTTGCATTATTAAACGGCAGCTGGATCGGAAATTGTTTCAGTGCTGCACGCCTCGTTGCGCGAACCCCAAGCTTGACCATCTTGCCCGAGTTACGGGATTATCGAAAAGCCAGCTATTAGAAGGACGTAATACGCGGACGAAATCTGCCCTGTCGATCCGAGAAAAATCATCGTATTCCGGGGATGTAATAGCCGATTGATTCGCAACGTTTCGATTTAAGGTCCAGGGCGTGAAAGAATTTTCCGATAGGAGAACATAGGCGGTTGCGACAGCAGCGTGCACATCCGCGACAGTTTCGCATTCTGGACAGCTGCCCCGGCAGCAGGTAGTCACGCTCTCGCGCAGACTTGCAGAGTAGCGTGTTCTGGTTTCCTATTCCGGCTTACATTTACATCTGCACGATGTTTCATTGTCGAAACGCGAACGTGCAGGCCGCGATACACGAAAGAGATGAAAACGGTTTGACCCGGATCCCGTGGCAAGGGGTTAGACCGGAGAATGTCCGATGTACGCGCGTCTATAGTCGCTTCGCGATGCTTTCTTTCCGCTCTCCCGTTCCTAACCCTTTCAATGTCCTCGACCATGCCATTTTTCGCCCGGCACAATGAGCCCCACTCGTCGGTCTTGTCTTACTCGACGAGGCAACGAAACCGTTACGGCGTATACAATGTTCCGGCTCTATTTGATCGGGCGATAAAGTAGTTTGTTGGACGGCTGGTTGGCCAATATGGTCTTTCGCGAGCTGGCTCGTTCAACGATCCAGCGAATTTCTCAGTCGCGGCCAGTGTGTTTGACCTGCGAATAATTTCGTACAACGAATGTTCCACGATTCGCGATAGTTACACGGTATTTCGGGGAAAGGTAATATTAATTCTCGTACGAGGAACGCGAACTCCCTATGACTCGCAATCGCGTTCAAAAGCCACATTTTATCGATCAAACTTTGTTACGGTGTTTAGCGAAATTGCGAATCACAATTTTCGAGTAAGCCAGACGTTTTGCGGAAAATTGTTTAACGCTGAAACGTTTGCTGGAAGAAACGATACCGGGAACCATCGCGAGAACTATCGCGATGTAAAATTCGACGAAACGATTCGTCTTTCAAGGGTCAGAAGAGACCCGAAAGATCGGCAGTGTATCGATACGCATTTGTGGTCGATTTGGTCAATCGAAACGATGAGATGGTGGAGTTTTACCTGGTGAAACTCGACGACCTCTTGGAGAGAGACGCGTAAACGTATACGCGTATCTTGCGACAAAATGTCGCGACGTACCCGACGCTTTCGCCGTTCAATTTCCGGCGCGGGAGAGGGTGCAAGGAAAACGGGGCGCGCGAGGGTACATCGGGAGTGAGTTTAAGGCGCGGCGAAAAAGTAAAATTTCCTATTTCGAGGGAAAAACGCCATGATGTATTATTATCGAAAACCTTCCTTTCCCTGTTCGCTGCACGCCACGCGAGAGAAATAACATTGTGCGGGAAATTCAAAGGGAAAGGTCCAAGGGAAGGAGGACGTCGTTTGCACGCGCCATGTAAAAATTCTCTTGCAACGTTTTATTTATCCCCGCGTTGCCTCGTCGCAAATTTGCATAGCTACTCGCTTAGATAAGCGGCGAATTGTTTAACGAGTAACATCGACTATCTAATTTGGAGGAAATACCTCTCGCTAAAAGCCTTCGTCGGTGCTTGCAGGAAGCTTTTAAACGAGATTTCGCGTCTTGCAGCGACAGAATCGATGAAAGGATAAACGAGGATGAGATATGTAAAGTTGCGTTCAACACCCCTGCTCGAAATCTAGTTTCGCGTGTTTTTATCGCGTTTACTGATACCGCGCGCGCGCGCGCGCACTCGCGAGGGTGCCTGCGAGGAACGGGGTCAAAAAGTTACAACGGGCTGGCAACATCTAGCTACTTGGGTATTCAACATCGACGAGTATGCTTAATATTAAAATAGCGCGTTCGTTCGCGATAGTTTCGCGTATAAAGTGGATTTCCGAAGTCTCCGGCTCATTTATAATTTCCTTCCCACCCGTTAGCTCACGGTGGCGCGCTCCTCGGATCCACGAATATCTCCGCTTTAAACGGTATCCCTCCTGTTTCGCGAAGAGTCGGAGCAAGATTGATATTCCTTCGCCGTGTCTATCATTTTTCTCCAACGCCCTCATAACCAGAGGCTTTTTATTCCCTATGGAAATTCCGCGATCCACGACGATCCACGACGATCGTCTGGGTAGCGAGAAATCCTAATTACACGAATTAATAACGAGGCGATGCTCGATCGTTCTTTTTCCCACTTTATTCCTCCGTATCTACGACGTCGTTACGACATATATATTCATCGACAGCTATTCTCCACTATTTATATATTCCGACGTACACATTCTCGCAGAGCTCCGGAACGAATTCCAACACGGCCACGAATTCCGGGTCGAAAGCTCGATCTCGCGACCTCGTTAGACCGGCCCGAATCGAGGCCATTAATTTTTCTTACGTCGAGAAACATGGAATATTACTCACCCATGGTCGGTGCGTAAATGTTCAAATAGAGGCAATCTTCGCTCTGGTTTCGCAGGTAGGGCAACAGCCTCTTCAAATTCTCCAGCCGGCCCTTCGGCATACGCTCCAGCGCTTCTTGCTCATTCGAGATGTCGGGCAGCTTTTGGGGACAGACTGGACTCAGCGTGTCCGATAATCTGCAAAGGAGGATTTGCATCAGTCTACTCGTGCACGAAGATACCCGTCGAATCGAATGCTTCATCGGTTGATCCTCCGATGCATTCGCAACCTAATTAGCAATCGGATCATCGCTAATACCGGTTCTTTCCGTGACGCTGGAAGCTGTGGAAATTTAAACGAGCCGCTCCACCACGGGAGAGCATTTCCCCGGGAAAACGGGAACCATGAACCAAATTTTCGGCTCGTTCGAGATGGCCTGCGTGTTTGAAAATTGGGAAAAACGTGCTTTGGGAATATTCCGTTCCCGACGACGGGTTCCCGAGTACTCGGCGCTTAGTTAATTATGTGTTCCGAGTGTATTGCGTTACGAGCACCTTTGTCCCTCCAGCTCGTAATGTATGGAGATTAAGGTCGTGTATAATTGTGTTTCCGTTTTTGCTTCGCCAGCACGGAGCGAGAAGCGAGTCGTTGGAAGCCGGGGTATCGCCAACCCTGCTGGAATATTCTAAAGCCCGCATTCGAGAATTTCGGGGACGCTGGCTCGCGAATTTTCCGTTTCTTCTCTTCCTCGACATTTTCAAAATCGCTGGTAGAACAGCGTTAAAAAGGGGCTGCTTTTTTTCCATCGTTTATGCGAATTTTGCTTCGGCAAATTTTTCAGCCACTCTTCCACGGAACAGGACAGACCGGTGTGTATGAAAGGACACGCGAATGCGAGGCCAAATACTTGCGCGAATTTCAAAGGAGTAGTTTGACATAACTTTGCGGGAAATATGCCGATGAAATACGCCCAAGGATTCGGGGATTAAAAGGGCATGCCCTGTGGAATGTACCTCGGGAATCAAAGCTCTCGTCAAATTTTACCTTTCCTCCAATCTAAACGCGCTAAATTCGAGCTTCAGTCCCAAACAAAATTCACGATATTTAATCATTCGATGCGCGAGTTCATTCGTTCTTCTTACTCGAAATCGCATTCGCGATTCAATTTCACTCGCAGTCACACGCTCGTCGTTCACTCGTCGCTGTCAAACGCGTGAACCACCCTCCCTTTGCACCCTTTCCATTATCCCGGTATCCGTGAAAGGGACGGATAGTCGGGAGAATGGAGACACGTTTCGGACAGGGACGCGAAACATGGCTGGTAAAAGGAAATCTGTCGCTTGTGTATCTGCTCACCTGACTCCTTCCCACGGACTGGCCGCCTTGGTCGGGGAAAATCTGTTACTGCCGATCGGAGGGGTGGCGTACGGTATCCCAAGGTAGACGTCGATTGGCTTGAGGAAGTTGGGTTTCTCGAAGGAGCGTACGACCCCCTGCACCTCGCCGTACCGTGTTTGAACGATCCGTGGATTGAGCTTGCTCTTGATCGAGAGCGAGAGGGTGGGCGGCGCAATCAGACAGACGAGAATCAGGAAGAATTCCATCTTGCTCCTCTCCGTCCCTACCCCCGCGCGTCACCGCCACGATTACCCTGTGCGACCAGGCGCGCGCGCACTCACACACAGTCGCACGCGGCTCCTCGCAATCGCTATCGATCACCTGTCCCCGTGACGATCGCTCTTCATTTAGGCCTGTTCAAGCGCTAACTGCGCGCCACTCCGACGCAAGCTTGCGGTTTTCCCTGAAATTTCACCAGCAACCGGTTCAGACGCCACGCCGGGTCGCTCCCTTCTCCCTAGTTCGCGTCTCTAACTCGCGACTCTACTTCGGATCCAGTACCGACCAATAGATAGTCTCGCGAGCGATGCGAGTTTTCGTTTGGATTCCGAGAGGGAACACGCTGAAGATCGAATCGTTAATTACAGGAAACGGATACCTCTCCGATTTTCTTTCGGCTCGAATCTTTATCTTTCGACCGGAGTGCGACAGGTTCGACATCTGCGGGGTAACAATTAAATTTGGGCGAAAAGGTAATCGAAGCATTTGCGAAATTTCGGTTGTTTCATTAGCAAGTAACCAAGGACCGCGTGCAATTACTAAATTCACCGCAACTAGGTCCCAACCGCGGCTCCCTCTGAGCGGAAAAATAATTCCGCGGTAGTGCGTTATTCGACTCGGTTTCAAATTTTCATCTCGCGCGGGGAATTTTTATCGCGTTTTGACGCGAGATATAAAGTGGAACGACTAACGTTGATACGCGCGTACGTGCGGGTCGAAGGGTGTATTCTTTATGGAAATACTCGAGTGTCTGAATTGAAGCGTCGGAATCGAAGGCAAACGGGAGAACGCAGGAATAATCATCGATGATTTTGCCTGAAAGCCCGTAACGATTCGCGAAATGGGTTGCCACGGGATGAAAAGAAACGCGGCGCCATTTTCGAAGAAAGAGCCGAAAGCAGAACTGCCGGGCGACGTTTTCTTGCATCCTAGACCCGTTCTTGCCCTGGCCACGTAACCGTGTTCCTATTTCCACCCTGCTATTTTCCCGAGATAAGGAAAGAGCGGTCTGAAAGACCGGGTATAGAGGGCGGCTTTGATTTTGCCCGGAACGCGTGCCGTAAGCCCTAATTGAACCAACTTAATTCCTGTTGATCGCGATGAATATTTAACAGGGCCGTAAATCAGGCGGAAATCAATCCGATATCGATCGGGCCGCGAGTCTAAGGGGCTCGATAAGACGACGGAAAGTGGCCCGAGGCGGGGATAGAGCGAGCGTACTCGTACATGGAACCATTATGGAAATCGGTACTTATCAGCGTTCGGGTAAGACGGAAAGGGATGGCTGGAGTTTAGTGTCGTCTAACTGGATCACGCGCTCTTCGTCATCCGCGAGCTCGCAGCGAAGAGCAGGAAGAAGCAGATAAGCTGTTTCAAGCGAACGGCTTTCGCTTATCAGCGACGCTCGAATCTTTTTCGAAGAATCTATCTAAAAGATTTTCGACCGAAGCGCGGGATATCTGCAAGCCCTGCGGAACGAGCTTGGGGATTTCGGAAATGGCGTCATCGAATTCGATCATCGCTTTCACGTAGCTGAACCTCGTGGCATGCAGTGATATAGGTCGAAGATTCCGCCGACGCGCCTGTTTATATCGTTCGCGTTATTCCACTCTGGCTACGGGGTTCGAAAGCGATATCCAATTAAACGTATCCTGCGAAATTAACCGCGGTTCTAGGAAAAGAAACTCGATCTCGGCGGTTTCTATCAACGATTCGCTGAATTTCGAATTGATTCGCCGGGAAAAGGCAGCGAGAAGAGGAATCGAGGGAAACTGGTCGGTCCGGTTTTCCGCTGACTCCGAAACGCTTACCATTAGACCCGATCATCGACTTTAATTAACCTCCGGATGGGAATAGCAGGAGCAGCAAGGCGAATCAAGCCTACGAATCGCCTAGTTTCTAGATCTTCGCTCCATCGTCGATTTCTACGATTACTCCGCTCGAGGCGGGTGAGGATCGCGGAAGCACCGATACGTCGCGATATGGGATTTCATTTATACGCCTGTGCAATGTTTCTTGTACCGATTCTCGAAAAATTCTCTCAACGCTGCTCTATCTTCGCCGCGAATACCGAACTGGGATTTTACGCGATTTCGGGGGTAAAAGACGGAGGCAGCTGATTCTCCGGGTGCTAGGCGAGTCCTGAAACAGAAGAAAAAAGTAACCATTAGTAACAGCAATGCGTTTCTAATTATCGGATATTAAAAACGTCGGTATAACAGAAAAATTAACTAGAAAAATTAATAGAAAAATAACAGAGAAATAGAAAAATTTTCTCACAGAAAGAAAGAACCGTTTAGAATAGCTTCTCTGATTATTAACGCAAAGTAGCGATGAAACCTATGAAGCTAAAGCAACGAACAAATTAATCCCTATAAAAGTAAAGGAAAAGCAACGCCAGAGAAATGGACATGATTTCGTAGAACGAGAAACCCCGTAAAAAGGCTGGAGCCTTTCGCAGTATCGCGAGGAGATGATACCCCGATGCAATACTGTTTCTCGTCGATCGTAAACTCTCCAGCTCGGAAGCAATAGGTCAGAGTATACTGCAAGTGGTTAGAGGATGGAACATGTACAAGTGTACAGTCGAATCTTTTCTATAAGCGAATCGACAGGACGAGAAGGCATCGAGAGTGAGATCAAGAGCCGAGCCAAACAACGACGTCGAACCCCGATATCGAATGTCCGAGGTGTAAGCTTAACGGAAGCTCTCAAATACGAATCCATCGTCCCAAGAAAGATAATCCAAAAGCAATCGACTAGTAGCTGGTTCGAGTCGATCGTGGCACGAATGCGCAGGAACCGAAAGCTCGTGGCCGTCCATGCAGATGAGTCGAAACGTAACGTTTCGAGGACTACTCGCCCAGCGGAACAGCCCCTAATTATCTTTTCGCTCTACCGTGCTCTCTTTCCAAGAGTTTAACGAGCGGAATAAGTTTCTCTGTTCTTCTTTCGCAGATAACGCGCTCGCCAACGCCGCGAGCTTCTTTCTTTTTACCGCATCGAGGAATTCCTTCGCGCAACTCGACTCGAAACTGGGTCATTCGATCGTTCCAATTAGCCCGGCTTAATATTCGCCGAATCGCGATTCTCGCGATTGAATCGTCCGGGTCGAATTTCCAGATAACCTTCACCGCGAAGCGGACCAAGGTAAAACTCGAATCGAGCCCGAGTGGCCGCGTTCTTTCCATTGTTTCGCTGGATCCTTCGCTATAGCAGCACGCTCGCGTGCTTTCCACGCGGCAAGAATGGAAGACGCGTTCTCGCAAGGCCGACAACGGGGCGCAGTTTCGCGTTCAATTAGCGCCGTTAAACAGACTAATCGAGGGAGTGGAGCTGCGAGGCTACCGGCAGCCGCCACTGGTATATCTATAGCTGGCTCCACAGTCGATTAGACAACTACCCAATAAGTGACTCCACGACGCGGATATTATCGGGCCGCCGAGGGCAAATGACGGCGGGAAGCTGCGCTTGCAACCGTAACTGGGTGGTTCTGGCTGCACGGAGATATATAGCAGGAAATGAAACCGAGTGGCTGCTAAATGAACGCCACTGTGATACGCAAATATATCGAAACGCGTTCCCTCTTATTCCTGTGTCGTCGCTCAGGAATAACAGACAGATTCGGAGGATTTTTTCACGACGAATGAAAGAAATTTATGTAGGGATCGGTTTGGGTGGATCGGCTAAAGCAGCGCTGTTTTGCTTCTTAATGGAATAAAATAAGTTTATACGTAGACTGACGGCTATGAAACAAGAGAGATCCGCTACGGGTACGCTAGACTTTGACTCTTTACTGACCCACTAGCACACTATTAGCAACTTCCAAAAGACTCCTGGAGACCGTTAAAGACTGTAGACTGTTCATGACTGACGACTGGAGCTGCCCGCGCCCTTGCACTCTTATTTAAAGCAGTCATCCTGTCCTTTTCCATACGCTTTCCTTTGCAATCATACCCTTTGCCACGCAACCTCGGTGGGCCAGGTACTTCAACCACTCTGGACGCATCCCTAAACTTTCACTCGACTCTACCATAAGCATTCTTTGCAGTCAAACCTCTTGCACATGGTCACTTTCATTCTAAGCCCAAACACACTTGACATTCTTTCAAGGTCGTACTTATTCCAATCCCACGTTTATGTCAATTGAAATTCACTCGATTCACTTTCATTCTAAGCCCAAACACACTTGACATTCTTTCAGGGCCGTACTTATTCCAATCCCACGTTTATGTCAATTGAAATTCACTCGACTAGTCATCCTGTCCTTTTCCATACGCTTTCCTTTGCAATCATACCCTTTGCCACGCAACCTCGGTGGGCCAGGTACTTCAACCACTCTGGACGCATCCATAAACTTTCACTCGGCTCTACCATAAGCATTCTTTGCAGTCAAACCTCTTGCACATGGTCACTTTCATTCTAAGCCCAAACACACTTGACATTCTTTCAAGGTCGTACTTATTCCAATCCCACGTTTATGTCAATTGAAATTCACTCGATGTTAACGACGGATTAGGTGAAGGAAGAGAAGGAAAAGAAAGATGGCGGAAGTGCAGATGCCGAAGACAGCGAGAAAACAAGTTCTCGCGTGTGGTCAAACGACCAGAGAAGCAGGTAGCTCATTAATCACGCCACTGTGATACACAAATATATCGAAACGCGTTCCCTCTCATCCCTATGTCGTCGCTCAGGAATAACAGACAGATTCGGAGGATTTTTGCACGATGAACGAAAGAAATTTACGTCAATTGAAATTCACTCGGTGCTAACGACGGAATAGGTTAAGGAATGGAGTCACGGTTGAGAAGAGAGGGAAGAAAAAGATGGCGGAAGTGCAGATGCCGAAGACAGCGAGAAAGCAAGTTCTCGCGTGTGGTCAAACGACCAGAGAAGCAGGTAGCTCATTAACCACGCCACACTCCATTACGCTGCTGATTATTCCAACCGAGGATAACCCAACCGTGTAGTCCACTCGTTCGCATACCAAGCGACCAGGCGCGTCACACGCTCGCGCTACGTGCTCGCACGTTGACACGCGAGTTGCGTGACGACGTTCCTCTCTGATCATGCACGAGCACACATCCGGGTACACGTGTGTGCACACGGTCGCAGAGCTTCCCATCCGGTGCCTGCGGCTGCTAGACTATTTGAGTTTGCC